AATGAGGTGGGCAAAGAACCTGCCTTGGGTGTTTGTGTGTGTATGTGTGTGCTTGTGGGAAGCACTCACAATATTCCCCATCTCCTAATTTTGAAGAGGTATTTTTAGTGAGTATTTCAAAGAGCTTTACATAAACACATCTGCTGGAGTTTTTGCTGGGAAATGTCTTTACAACAGTCTTTTCTGTCCCCTCCCTCTCGGGGGACAAGGGAATGGTCTGACCATTTTCTTTTTCAATCAGATAAGCAAAGCCAGAGAGCGAGAGAGAAAATCACAGGCTCATTTTGCCGGTGCCAAAAGGCTCCTCAGCCCAAAGGGTGGGTTTTAGAAACACTTTGAACAGCTCAGATCGCCCACACTAGAGCCCAGGGCAGAAGCAGGGCAGAAGCACACGTGATGTTGCTGTGGCAGAGAGAGCAGGGATGTGGGAGAGCAGGGATCCTGGCCCAGCACTGCCCTGTCTTGCACAGCCAAAACCTCCAGGTGAGGAGAGGAGAGGAAGGATGGAATATTCCGTCACCTGTGCATGCACTTTTTGCATGTTACTCAGAAGTGGCAAGAACATCCCTGGTGCTGCAGGCACAGGAGTTTCTCCAGCCTCCCCTCAGGATGCCATATCTTGATGTCCCCAGTTCCAGGCAAGGTGTCCATCCTTCATCATGTAATGCCAGTGAAATGTTCACAGCTTTTAGGCTCATCAGAGATGTTTTAGCCTTTTTTGTTTGGGGGGTTTGGTTGGCTGAAGCTGCTCCTGCCTTTTCACTGAGGGGTGTAGAGATAATGGGAACATGAAGCCACCTAGGTCTGAAGCAGGGAGTGTAGTAAAGTTTCTGTATTAGCTATCCCAAATCCTCTGACCTTGGAAGTGCTGCCAGTGCAGGTCTGCCAAGTGCACTCAGTGCCCAGGGCTTCTGAAGTGCTTGTGCATCCAGCACCCAACCCAGCTGCATGTGCAAAGGAAAGTAAAGGTTAAAAAAACCCCAAAACTGCTTGGTTAGCATGGTCCAGCCCCAATTTGCTTACACTGCTGCTTGCAGGGCAGCTGGGAAGAGCACAGAGGCTGCATAAGGCCACCGACAGCTGGAACTGCTGGGGTCCATCCTGTGCAGGTGAGGCACAACACAATTGAGTGGGGAGATGGTCTGGCAGCTGAAAGGTCACAGGGAGAAAATTTTCCTGCTTTTGTGTCCTCTTGAGATGAGTTACTGCGGGGAAAAGGCTGATTGATGGAAGGTTTGTGGCAGGAGACAGCTGCAGGGCCAGGGGAGCTGGGCTGGGACACGGGAGCCTGTGGGCAGGGGAGGGCAGTGCCCGGGATGGCAGCACCCAGGGAATGTCAAGTGCACAGCAAACCCCCCTGCCTGCTGTCACTGCGGGCCGGGGGGCACGGGTGTCACTGGGCTCAGCTCCCCGAGCAGCATCCGTCACCAAGTGCCACATTTCATGGCCTGATGAGACGGCATTTGGCCGTGGCAGGCAGCATGGCAGCCCAGGATGGAGGGATGGGCATGGTTTGGGAGTTTGCTCCCTGGGGCATCAAACGCTTTGTGACTTTGTCCCGTCCTCTGTGGACAGTGCCAGGATCTGTCCGTGGGCAAGGGCAGTCATTAACTGGTCTCCATGGTATCCCCACACACTGGGGGTGACATCCCTTCCCCAGGCAAGGGAGGCAGAGTGGGTTGGCCTCAGGGCACTGCCAGCAGCAAGGAGCCACCCATCCCTTCTCCTCCATGTGGCCGTAGTGGTTTATGGTGGTTTCATCCACCTTCAAATAAGGGATGTTTGGGTTCCTTCCCACCAGTGACCTTTCCTGCATCATTTGTATTAGGGTAGGCAATAGATCATGACCCTCTGCTGCCAACACATTCTGTTAGAGAAGGAATACATGTGAGAGGCCAAATCTGACACCACAGTGTGGAGGTGGGCAAGCTGGGCTGTGAGAGGCTTGTGCTGGTGGAGAGTTGAGGGCGCTGTGTGCCTGCTGCTTCTCTTCCAGCCACTGCAGCATTGGCAAAATTTGGCGTGAGCCCAAAAGACCCCTCCTGGACCAGAGACTGCTGGGATGGGAAGGGACAGGATGAGTGAACTGTGGTGGGTGGTTGCACAGGGCATGTTCTGCACTGAGTGGGCGGCAGGCAGCCCACACGTGCCCTGCTGTGGGGGGGTCTCCCATCAGGAGCAGCTGTGCTGCTTCTGGACAGGTCTGATGGATAGGCTGGGTTTCTACACAGGAGAAAGAAAGGAAAAAGAAAAATGAGTGCAAGTGATTGAATTGCCAAGTGGAAATGGAGAAGTTTGCAGGGCAGGTGGGATGGGTGGGCAGCTGTCTTGTCCTGGTCTGAATGCCCGTGGCCAGGAGTGAGTGCATCCTTAGGGACAGACATGCAACCAACACACTGGGGAGGGAGGCTGCGTGCCTCACTAGGAGTGCTGGAGCAGTGCTGCCCCGCAACAGGGCATCCCTCCTGCCTGCTCTTCTTCCTGCCTCCTCTGGCACATCCCCTGGGCTGAGTCCTGTGCTCCCAGCAGCATCCTGCTGAGCATTCCCACTGCTCTCCCTGGGCCAGCTCCAGCAAAAACACCCACAGAGGCTTCTTCTTTTCTGCTGCAGGCACAAACAGCAGGGAAGGTGTGATAATCCCTCCTTTGAGGCCACAGAGATCATTCACACCAAACTGCATCACTTTTATATCACTCATGAAAGACACAAAAGACAATAAGAAAAGAAAATATATATATATACATATATATATATTCAATCAATGTCTATGGAGCTCCACGCCAGGGGATTACCAGCCAGTTTAAAGCATTAGTGACTCCCAGCATCCATCAGAGGAGAACATTTGGTTGAATGGAAGCCAGCCTTTGATGGAATTGGAGAATAATTATTTCCATCAATAATTACTTCCAAGCCCAGAAGAAATGCTTCCTGGCACGTTGCAGGACAGGAGTCCTTGATTGCCTTGAGGCCAATATGTTTTAACCCCAGGACCTGGAAATCCCATTAGAGGCTGGGTGACAAGGATGTCACCTGCTGTGCCCGGGTCCTGGCAATGGTGTTCCAGCCTGCTGCCAGCCTGGGGAGGATCCCTCCTTCCTCTGCTGCTGGAGTGCATCCAGCTCACACTTTGCACAGGTCATTCATTTGGGGACGTTTTTAATGGATCCTAATGATTGAGCCTCAGAAGGCTGTTCTTAAAAGGGGTTTGGGAAAGGCCACAAGCCAATTAGCTGGCACACAGAAAATTATTAACCATGTAGCTTCCTGGATGGTCAAAAATGATGGAGATGTTAGGAAGTGACTGGGGGATTATTACAGACTTTTTAAAGCAAGAGGGACTATTCACCTCCTGCATATTCTGGGCCAGAAACATTTCACCCAGCTTCCCCCCACTGATCCTTGTCTCTTTTATTTGGCTGTGTATATCCTTAAATGTTAAGGCATTACAAAATGGGCTCCAAGGAGGAGCTGGCTATTAGAGAAAGTGGATGCTTATTGAGAGAGAAAACACAGGTGGGAAAAAGCGGGTGACCCTTCTGCAGGTGCTCCTGTGCCAACTCCAACCCCAAGGAGTGTTATTCATGCCTGAGGCAGGCAGCAGGATGTTCCCTGGGGCATGCAAGGCTCTGGCCATGCCTAACTGGGGCTTTTTTAACATGCCATTGCTCTTTAACCACCCTCTTGCCCCCACTTAACCCCCACATGTGCAGCACACACCTGGCCCTGGCTCCTATCCCCACAGCCCATGTGTGATGGCTGTGGTGGTCTCTGCAGCCAAAGCATCTTTCACTGTGGCTGCAGGGCTGGCAGGGGGACATCCCAGCCTCCCCCTGCTCTGCTGGGATCCACATGGCCTAAGAGCTCCAGAGGGTTGCTTTCCAAGGAGAGGAGGTAGGCCTGGTGACAGACACAGCCATGGGACTTTGCAGAGCTGACCCTAAAGTGGCACCCACAGCCTAGTCCTGGGATCAGCTTTAAAATGGTAAGGGGAAGGAGTGGGGACACTTTTAGTTCCAGCTGAGCCCAGCCTACCCAGGGTATCACCCCACAGCCTGGTTGAGCCTGGACATGCTCACGTTTGCTTTATCTATTCCATAATGCTCTGGATGACACTAAACCCCAGCATTTTCAGCACCCCTGCTGGGTATGGTTTATGGCTTTTCATTAATCTTTTCATTCTTTGAAATAAATATCTGCAGGGCCTAGAAACCTATTTACTTTCCTCCTGAGTGTCTGCACGCAGACTTGTTTGGGTTTGTTTTCTCCATTCAGCGGCTTCTTTTCTCCATTTCAACTTGCACAAGCCCCAGTGTTTCTTAGAAACCATTCCCTCCAGGCTTTCCCTGCCTTTGCTCTGCTCCTTGCCAGCTCCCAGGGCACTTGCAGGCACTGACCTGGCCCAGGTGGTTCCCCATAACTCTGCTGGCTGTCCCAGGTTCTCAAGGCTGAGCTGTCAGTCAGACCAGGTGTGTTCACAAGCCCAGCACCTTATTTGTAGGAAGTTTGCTGCCAGTCAAGGATGAGGATATGTGGCAAGGTGTTATTGAGGCATTAGCAGGTTTGGAAAACTACATTTGAAATGGCAAAGGATTTTGGTGGCTTTTTTTCTGTCAGGGTGCAAAATCTGTGCTGTCTCTGCAGAGCTGGTGATCTAAACCCCACAAAGCAGGTGAAGATGTCCTGACTGGCTCCTGGGTTTTGTTCCTGTTGGATTGGATCTGGCCCTGTGCTGTCCAGCTGCTCCTTGGCTGCACGATGCTTGTGGCATCTCTGCCTGAGCAATGAGCACAGCATGCCTGGCTGGGGTGCAGCTTGGCTTGGGAACCGGGCATTCCAGAGCCCTGTGGGAGAGCTGAGCACTGAGAGCATCCTGCACCTCGCCTTTGCAGCTGCACAGCTCCTGCCTGCAAAAGGGAAAGGAGATTCCCCAGGGCGTGGGGAATGACCCCAGCTGAAGGGACAGCTCCTGATGGCTCTTTGTCGCCTCTTGCCCCGGCAGTGGGACGCTCAGCTGCCTGCCGTACCCTGCGGAGGACAGACGGCCCGAGAAGCTGAGCAGCTGCGTGGTCAGGGAGCCTGCCAGCACCAATGGCTGTGCCAAGGGGAGGGACAGACGAGACCATGCCCACCGCAGGTCACGCAGGTAGGAGCCAGGGCCGTCATGGGGCCACCCTGGGACAGGGGATGGCAGGGGAGGTGTCCGTGGATGTTTACTCAGCCCCTCTGGGGTCTGTGAGAGCTGGGGGGGGCTTCAATGGCTCAGTGTGTGCGCAGAAAATGTGTGAAATCGCATGAAATCCCTGTGTGAGTTTGCAGGGACAAACCTGCAGTTTGTTTCTACTCCAGGACTTGCTCCTACAGCCTCCTTCAGAGTCTTCCAAGACCTGCCAGCACTCCTCTGCACTACCAGGTCTGCTGGGAATTGCCCTCAGCAATTCCCTTCTCCCCATGCCAGATCAGCTCAGCAGCACTGCCTTCATTAGGACACAGCCTCGTTATCAGCTTGTCGTTAGTCCCTGACCACTTGAGAGGAGAAAAATGAATGAAACGTTGTAAATGAAGCAGCTGGGGTCTCTGAGCCCTGCCTGCTCAACCGTCTCTGGGATTAAAGCCTCTCCGTTCAGTTAAAGATGCTGGAAAGAAAGAGCGAGAAAGCACATTTCATATCTTCAGATTTCAGGCCAACCAGAACAATAATCTAAAGCACACTTTTAATTAGACTTTGATTATAATCGTGGAGGAACAATTGAAGTCAGATCAGTGCACTGGAGAAAGCTGCCACATCAAAGACAAAAGATTTATCTGGGGAGAGGGAGAAGGGCTCTGCAGAAACCGCCTGGGGCAGCGTCAGATGCTGCTCCCTGCTCTCCTGTGGCTGTGGCAGTGCCCAGCTGTGTCCCTGGGTGTCTTTGGGCAGGTGTCCGAGCTTAGTGACAATGAGACATCCTGGAAAATGCATGATTTCTGTCTGCATTGAGGTAGAAGGGCCACTGGGCCCAAGGTGTGCCACAGCCTCTCACGGTGCTGCTGCTGATCCGTGAAATCCTTGGGAGGAGCAGTGAGGAGGAGGATGTGGGTGCTCCATGGGGCCATGCTGTGCTTGCACACTGGATTTACTGCACCAGAAGCACTCATTATTCACAGCTCACAACTGAAGCATTAGCCTTCATTTTGCAGAGCTTTTATTTTTTTTTTCCCAAAGTGTATTAAAAGCACTAAGCAATTGAGTTTTTATGATAGTGTAATTTCACTGGTAATTCAAGCCCTGGATGATCAAGTGTTGAGGGGTGGTGGAGTCTGAGTGTCCCCCCCACAAAGTGTCGTTTGCTCTGCATTAGTACTTTCATTAGCAATAATGTTTGTTCTTGATGCAGAAAACTGCTCAATTTTTGCCCTGTTTCTGCAGTGTAGATCTCACCACATTCTCCAGCCATGGGGCTGCTTCCACCCATTCGTTGCCTCTGGCTATTCCCAGAGGCAGGATGAGAAGTGGGAAACCAAGACACAAACCCAGCACTGTCAGTGATTTTTCAGAGGCCCTGGGGAGCTCGCTGTGCCCCCACAAACCTTGGTCATGGATCCATTTGGGGATTCAGAGGGACCTGTGGATCTGTTTGGAGATCCACATGGCTGATTTAGGCTGATGTAGGGATGCCACCAGCTGCCTCTGTCTTTACAAGCATTTGCTTTAGTTAATGAGTAGCCACAGAGTATCTGTCATTTTTTTTCAGCCCAATGCTCTGAATTAATTAACCACGGTATTTGCTTTTCATTGAAATATAACACGATTCAGCATCATATGTTTAAAGAAGAAATTAATTTGCAAGAGGGTTTATTTTCAAGGTTTAACAACTGTATAAGAGATGCATATCTCCTTCAATTACCAGTGTCTCAATAAATATATATATATTTCTAATCAATTGCTACTTAACACATGTCAAGTCTTTATTATAGTTAGATGCATCTGGTTGCAATAATTACTGTATGCAAATTAAATGCCAATTAATTATTTAAAGCATATTTACAAAGAGCAACAAAACCTATAAATCTGTTTTGGAGTCGTTAACCTCAGCAAACATGTTTTAAATAATCAGCATAGCTGTGGTGGAGCTGTCTTGTTATATCTCTATTAGACAGTTCGTTTAAACTGTGACTAAATAATTAGTTCGAGAGTAATGAGGCAACACCCGCACCCTTGGCCCACCATGAACACTGACCTTGCTGCCCCATGTCCCTGAGGTGGCAATGCCAGAGAATCCCATGTGAGCCCATTCAGGGTTTATTTTTATTATTTTTAATGTTTATTGGGTCTTGTCCCCATCCTCAGCCCTTCATGCGATGGGGAGCGGCCACTGCCAGCTCGGGGGAAGAAGAAGAAAAAGAAATCTGGCCGCAAGAAGAGAAGGAGGTGAGGGAGCCATGGCAGCGTGAGGGGCCAGGCAGGGCTGGGTGTGAGGGGAGAGGGTCATGAGGGAGCCATGGCGGTGTGAGGGACAGACAGGGCAGCTCTTGGCTGGGTGTGAGGGAAGAACGTCATGAGGGAGCCATGGCAGTGTGAGGGACAGGCAGGGCTGGGTGTGAGGGCAGAGGGTCATGAGGGAGCCATGGTGGTGTGATGAGCCATGGCAGCATGAGGGAGCCATGGCGGTGTGTGGGACAGACAGGGCAGCTCTTGGCTGGGTGTGAGGGAAGAACGTCATGAGGGAGCCATGGCGGTGTGATGGGACAGACAGCCTTGGCTGGGTGTGAGGGGAGAACGTCATGAGGGAGCCATGGCAGTGTGAGGGACAGGCAGGGCAGCCCTTGGCTGGGCGTGAGGGAGCCATGGCAGCATGAGGGAGCCATGGCGGTGTGTGGGACAGACAGGGCAGCTCTTGGCTGGGTGTGAGGGAAGAACGTCATGAGGGAGCCATGGCGGTGTGAGGGACAGGCAGGGCAGCCCTTGGCTGGGTGTGAGGGGAGAGGATTATGAGGGAGCCATGGCAGTGTGAGGGACAGGCAGGGCAGCTCTCGGCTGGGTGTGAGGGAAGAACGTCATGAGGGAGCCATGGTGGTGTGAGGGACAGGCGGGGCAGCCCTTGGCTGGGTGTGAGGGGAGAGGGTTAGTGAAGGATGTGAGGGTGGCCATGGCGGTGTGTGGGGCAGGAGGGGATGGCAGTTCTCAGCTGGGTGTGAAGGAAAAGGATCAGTGTAAGATGGAGACGTGAGGGCCTGGGAGTTCCACAGCCCAGGGAGGTGCCGCCATCTTCTCGCCTTCCCCTCAGGGCAGCAGAGCTGGGTTGAGGCTCATCCCTGGGTCTATCCCTGAGCTCATCCTGCTCCTGCCAGGAGCCCCAGCCACTCTCTGCCCTGGAGATGCCACTGGTGGTGGGGTGAGTGTTGGGGTGGCTGGCACGGCTGTGAGCAGCTTTGTGGTCCCTAATGCCCCTCTGCCCCCTCAGGTCTCCCTCCTACAGTCCTTCACCTGTGAAGAAGAAGAAGAAGAAGAGCTCCAAGAAGCGAAAAAGAAACAGGTATTTTTTTCCTTGAAAATGTAATTCCCCGGTGGCAATGGCTGTTGGGGGTTTGGAGAAGGGCTGGAAGGCACTGCTGCCTCAGGCAGCTGTTGGTCCCAGTGGACAGAGAGGTATGAGGCTCTGAGCACTGGGCAGCCAAGAGGAGGCATAGCCCGAGTCCCTCTGGGCTAGGAGGGCATGGAATAGGGTGTACACCCAGTGCAAACAGAGAAACATGAACTGTTGGGGTGTGGGGACACAGAGGTGGACAAGCCAAATCACTGAGAGGTCTGCGGAGCCTCAGCCTGCTGTCCTTGCTGTTCATCCTCTGGAATGCCAGTGGGATCAGTGCTCAGGGCTTGTGCTGGTCTCCACCCCTTCCTCCCCAGCCTGCAGAGAGTGTCAGAACAGGAAAAAGGCTCAGACCAACTTCCCATGCCCACATCCCAGTCTCCTCTCCCAGCCCCAGTGGCTGTTTCCACCTTCCCCTTCTGAAGTCCATTTTTAATTCAAAGAGCATGATTAAATTTTAAAATTGCAAATACTTCACTGTTTTCTCTCAGCTGTTAAACCAATATTTGACGAGAACAGTGGATTCCATCTCCCTAAGAAGGTTCATGTATTTATAATATATTGAACCAAAGAGAGAAGCTACCAAAAGTGAATAACAGGGTGAAAAGTTGAGCTTGAATCTCCAAAGAACAAGGGAGAAGGAGAAACAAAGATATAGGAACTTCTCTAAAAGACTTTCTTCCAAAGGAGGAATTCTTATGCTCTTTTGTGGATGCCATCTCGTGATGGAAGTCCTGGGTCAGAAACTCTGGCTTTGAACCTTTGGTAGCCATATATGCCCCTGCAAGCCAAGGATAAGCTGGAGGTGGTCCCATAAGACTGCATGATATGAACCATTCAGGCTTAGTGACTAGTGGAGGTTGTTTCCACACACCTGGTAGCATTTCAGCTACAGGCCCCAAGGGACTTTGCCAGAGGCAATCTCACAGCCCCTCCAGGCAGGACTTCAGGCCGTGTCTTCTGCAGGATGTTGTGCTCCTGGCTGAGAGGAGAGAGAGTGGGGTGTGCAGTGCACTGGGGCCAGGACTTGCTGCAGGGATGTGTCCTCCATGCCACCAGGGTGTTGTGTATGAGAGAGGTGTCTCCTATGTCATCCCAGGGGTGCTCCAGGAGGCAAGACAGGGCCATGATGCTGGTTTGGCTGTGAGACTGCTCTGGAGCCACCCGGAGAGGATTTTTCCCTTGACTGCTATTTGGTCTTTCATACAGAAAACCAGGGAATGGACCCACCTTTACATGCAGTGCAAAACTGGAGGCAGTAGTAGAGAAAAAGGACCCACCAGAGATGGGGGATATATGTGATCTCTCCAAAGACTTATCCTGAGGACCATGTTCTCAGTTACTTGTAGAGTGTGCTGGTCCTTTCTGCACACCAGCATTTCTCAGCGGCTCCCTCACCAGCTGGCTAAAGGAGAGGCAGGACCATTCTGCCCAGGTGCTGCGTGAGGTCTTCTCTCAGTGCTCAGTCTGAGCCTAAACATATTGCCTTGGACTCAAACTTCCAATTTTGTGAGACCCTTTATTCAATGTACATATTTGTGTCTTGCAGGTTGTCATCAAAGAAGAGAAGGCACAGGTAAGAGTTGAGCAAGTGAGTGGTTCCTTAGAAATAAGAGTTTAATGGTCTCTTCAAGGTTGATGTTCACTGACTGGGGCAGAAGACATTTCTTCTGTGTTACCTTGTGGAATCCCCTTGGGTCCCCTCATTCCATGTGGGTCTGGTGACTCCCTAGGTGTGGACTGGAAGATCTCTTCTGATTCCAGTATGTGTGTATACATTATCAATAAGTACTCCTTTTCTCTATGGAAAAAGGCAAAGTCACCAAGTTGGCTGATCCCTTTGAAGGTTTTGGCCAAGCCCATGAAGCAGATTTGTCAGCAGGCACTCAGACCCCCTGTGCTGTGACAGTCATGAATCCCTTTCATTTTTACTGCATGCTCTTGGGCAACTGAGCTGTAACATTGATGTGTGATTGTGCAGCTTTTTATCGGAACAGAAATCTCCAAATTAATTAGCCATTTCTTATTTAGTTCTTCAAGCCCCAAAAGTAAGAGAAAGGAAGAAAGAAAACACAAAAAACAGTAAGTAGTGGTTCATGGAGTTCTCTGCCCTGCCTGCACAGTGTGGGGCTAGGAAGTGCTTGGTGTGGTGGGGCCCCTGGAGCTAACACCTGCGGCACAGCTCTAAGCATTTCTCAGGATTATTTTGAAGCTAAAACCAGCAATTCTGGTTTTGTTGGAATGGGAAAGGGTTTGTAGAGGCTGGAGATCTTTCCTCTGCCTTTCTTTTGTGACACCTCTTTCTGTACTTTGTGTATCTTGCACGGATGTGCAGAGTCTTGTCCACCCAATCCAGAGAGAAGGCTCCAGCTTTTCTGGTGGGGGCAGCATGAGAGGCTGAACACTGACCTGCCAAAAGGGCAGGCTGGCACACCCTTACTGGGAAGGGCCTCAGCTGCTCCTGGGTTGCTCTCTAGGAGGTTGCATTAGGACCTACCCATGAGGCACAACACAGGCAAGGATCTGAATGGGTCAAGGGGAAGAGAAGGGATTGCTAGGAGGGGATGGAGTTTGCAAAAATCTGGTGTTGAGGTTCAGCCCTGGAGTGTTAGCAGAGCACAGTCCTTGTCCTGTGGGGACATAGTCAAGGGGCATGGTATAAAATGGGGCTCCTCAGGACTGGAAGGACTGTAAGCTGCCTCTGTTTTTCCCTTCATTCTCTGTCTTCTGGGAACTGTAGCTTGTGGCTTCTGACCTGCTTTCAGAGCAAGGTAACAGTCCTGTGGCTGAACCTTGGGCACTGACCCCCTGGTCAGCTTTGCTGGGCCTCAGGATACTGCCTGCACAGGCCATCTCCATTGCATGCAGAAAGCCAGTCTCCTTTTCACTAAGATTTCTGCACATTAAGTGGCACAGTTGCAGCTCAGTTTCCCCTCAAACTGGGCTGCCCTGCACCTGGAAAACTCAGTGGTAAAAGAGAGGCTTCCTAGGTTATCTGTAAAAGGAGGCATCTCCCCAGCCTAACACAGCAGTACCCTAACAGTGCAGTTAAAGCTAAGATCCATGTCCTGCTGGTGTGCCCTGACTTCAGGGAACCAGAGCTGCTGGAATTGCTCTTTGGGGATAAACCAGCCAAGGCATTTTAGCTTCATTTTTCTGCTGGCAAATCAGAGCTCAGCCACTCCCAGTTTCTGCAAACCTTTTGCTCCCAGGCATGGATCAGATGGATCCCATGAGTATTTTTGTATAATCACACTGCTTTGACTTATCTTTGCATTGAGCAACTGGTTATCTAAATCACACAGGACCACCTTTCCATTTTGCAGAAAGGGAAGACAAATTGGAGGGTGCAGGGGGTGAAGGGCAAACACAGGGATTTTCACACAAATCCATCATATGAGTGAAAGATATTCAGTGTTGCTGATTTCAGCTGTATGGAAATAAGAAAGGAGGATCCCAAAATGCGAAGTTTAAGAAAAACAAAATCATTTGGTGTGAAAAGCATCAAAGAAAACAGCCAAGCAGAGTTGAAGGAATTGCCCTGGAGGTTGCCCTTTTGTCTTAAAGGAGATGCTGTTCTCAAGCAATTATTTGCTGAGTTTTTATACCAGCAAGTTGCTAAATGCTGTCCAAGCAGGTTGTATTTGTGCTGTCAGAGCCTGTGTAGTATGGCCATGAAGTCAGGCTGTTCCCACCAGCTCACCCACAGTTAGCTTTGCCTGCTGGCACAGCTATGCCAGCCTGAGCAGATGGAAATGCTTCCAGACCTAAATTAACTACTGTGGTGAGCAAAGATGGGAGAGGCAGGGCACAGAAGGTGGCAGCTAGCCTGTCACCCTGCTCTCTGCACCCAGGACTTCAGCTGTTGGCATGGACAATCATAGCCCTTAGGTAACAGGGCCAGGTAATCCATGAGAAACAGCCTGGTGGTGCAAAGGAGCTGCAGCAGGGCACTGGCTCTCCATCCCCTACAGAGGGACAGTGTGCTGAGGACTGTCCTCAGGCCCTGTCAGAAAAGGCAACACCAGTGACTGGGCACCTGTCAGAAGCCAGGGAAATGGTCCTGTCTCTCAAGCAGGAACCATGCACAAGGCAGGCTGTGCTTAGGAGAGCTGTACTTTGTGCAGCAACCACGAGAGCTGCCCACAGGATGGCTAAATGCTCCCACCTGGAGAGGGTGGGGAAGGCTGGCTGCTACTGAGTGTACTCTGTCAGTTGTAGCTTGTCCTTCTGCACCTGCTTTTTAACAAGGGGCCAACACTAGGGAGAGGGCTGGAGGTTTGTGATGGGTTCCACACAGAGATGGTGCTTCCCCCAAGGCTCAGCAACAGGAAGGTCTTGAGCAGTTGCCTGGCTGTTACAGGGTAAGCTGCAGGATGAAAGGCAAGCACATGGCTCTTTAAAGTCTTGAAAGGATTGGTGCTGGCTGCTGCACTCCCACACGCTTGTCCACAAATCTTCCCCCAGCATGCTACAGAGCCAACCTAATAGCTTGTGTGTAAAATGCTAGCAGATATCTCAGGAAGATGTCACTGCAGCAGTGAAGGGATGGAGAATTTCTCATGCCTTGATGTTCTGTGCCATGTTTCATACACCAATCTCTTTGGTTTAAAAGGCATACCTCCCTTCTGATTTGAACATTATTGACCTCAGCCTTCAGCTGCTGGCTCTTGCATCCCCCCACTTGCTAACCTAATTCGGGTTTTCTTTCTGCTTCTTAAAGCTCTCGTGGGCGCACCCGGAAATCCCATCGGCATCGCCGCTGCCACTCTCGCTCAGAGAGCTCCGACTCCCACTCCCCCAGCTGCCGGAGCAGGTAACGGCGCTGCTCCCAAGCTCAGTGTCCTCAGCACTGCCTGCTGGGCTCAAGGATGTGGCTGCCACAGCCTGTGTGACCTGCAGGCTCTCTGTGCACTTCCCACTCTGGTAGCAGCAGTGTCACACACTGGGCGCTGAGCTGTTTGTGGTCTTAGCCATGGAAGGGTTTTGCCTCAAGAAGCAGTGGCTGCAGCTTTTTGATCTGACAGTCACTTCTAATTCCCATGGCTGATGCTCAGCCTGTTACAGATGATTCCAGTCTAGTGTCCCTTCCCCAGCCCAAGGGTTCTGTACTGCTGATGTCCCAGGAAACCCTTAAACATGGTCTTAGCAATGGAAATATATTTGCCTGTGGCAATCTATAGTCATTGTCTTTGACCTGATTAAAATCTCTCCTCTGGATGACAGATGCGTCCTGGGGCCGGCTAAGTGGATGCTGGTGCTAGACCCAGCATTGCTGCAATAGCAAGTGATTTATACACATAATAATTTCATTTTTCATGTTCTCTGAAAGCACTTGAGCAGCCCACCCCCACTCTCCTACTTCACTCCTCCTAAGTACTGGGAATTTTCTTATGAAAAGCTGCGGATCAGTGGGGGGAGGATTGCAATCAGTAATTGGAGGGGTGCTCATGCAAGAGCAGAGTGTTTTCTCTTGGAGGTGTGTCACCATAGGAACATGCTATGGTACAGGAAGGTCATGGCTTGCCTCGAGCCACCATAAAATCATGCATTGGAGCTGAAATTTGAGGTTAAGGTCCAAAGCCTGGGTGCAAAATTATTATTTTTCTTTAAAGTAGAAAAGCAAAACATCCCTTTTCTCTCCCTCATGACTCCACAGAGCAGTCATGTGGAAGGACATTCTCCCATACGCAGAGTCTTAGCACAGACCTGCCAAGGGTTGGTGTGGAGCTGGGAAAGGGCACTACTACAATCCTAAGGAATAACATTTTGGCTGTTCCTGTCTCCTGGAGGCACAGAGCCAGGTCTCGGGAGGAAGGGCGTAAAACACGGCAAAGGCGCTCCTGGCACCATTCAAAGATCACGGCAAAGAGAAGCTCCTCTGCAGAGGTTCAGGCCAGTCAAAAAGCCAGCCCAGCCCTCCCACTCTACAGCTTCCTGTCTTCTAAGGAAGTAGTAAGTATATCACACACTGTCCTTCTTTGCTTGAACTAGCCAGAGGAATCTGGGCAAGAACTCTGATATGAAATTTTTATAACTCAATTATAGTGATGTTAGACGAACTTGGTTAAACTGTATTATTAATTCATGGTGCTGTTTTCCAATGTATGTAAAGTCATTCCTTCCTTCAGCACTTTCACACCAAGGGTGGGGCTGGAGAGGGGGAAAACTTGAAAAGTCTTTAGCCTATGAATAATAAATTGAGGGCATTTAACAAAGAAAAAAAAAAAAAGTGGCCTCCAGAAGCAATATTTTAAAGGGAAGAGTTTGTTATGCAGTCTTTGCTCAGCTGGATGTGAACTTATTTCACTGGTCTTTGCATCCAAAAGTTTAGTTCTTCGGGCTGAAGAAGGGTATCAAACATATACAGAAGGAACATTTACATTTAATGAGCTGGTGATTATTGGCATGGGATGTTTTCTGACTATCAGGATCCTTCTAGGATCACTGTTCCTCTGGACTGACAAGCCCAGGGGCCAAATTTGGAAGTTATGAGCAGCCCTCATTGATGCTAATGGGAACTGCATGTGCATCTGAGGGTAAAATCAGGCTCAGTGCCTTGGGATGTTTTTCCATATACACAGAAAGAGATGATGTAATAAATGAACTGAGGGAGCAAGAGATGGAGAGAAATATTAGATAGAGATTGATACCAGTCTTCCTCTTCCGTGGCATGCTTCCCCTTTGTTCCTGGCAGCAGTAAAGCAGAGGTGTGATGCCCTGACGGTGGTGTTGGTATCAGACAGATACTCTGGAGAGAGAAATGGCTACGTAGGACTGGAGGTAGTGCAGGATCTGATAGTCACACATGTGGATGTGTAATGCTAGAGGTGTTTTGACTAGAGAGTCCTCCAAGCCCCAAAGTTGTTTTCTCCTTTAGGCCCAGTCATCAGTTGGAAATAGCTCAGCCACACGCAGGAGCTACATCAGATAGGATAGAGATGGTGCCAGCAAGAGGAGAGACTCTACCCACTCACCCACACAGACAGCGTGCCGATCAAAATACCCAGGGATTGTACGTGGGTACAGACAGGCACAAGCTGTCTCTCAACATTATAGATATGCATATTTGCTCTCATTATAGAGCGTGTGGGGCCATGTGAGTCACTGCTTGTAAAGCCTTATAAGGCAGCATGGAGAGCAGAACCTCACACCACACGCTGATGTGTGCACACGCAGAGGAAGAAAAACAAGGTATGAAGCTCATTGTCGTGAACTGGGGGTGTTGCTGAGTTCAGAGCTCCTCCCCCCCCCAAAAAACAGCCAGCCAAAGACTGCATCATGTCACCAGGGTGTTGTTTAGTTCAAGCAGCATATTTTTCATAAATGCTTTTGAGCCTAAGCCTAGTTTTTAATTAGTGCTAGGTTTCCTCTCTCGGAAGCCAGGCTTCCTAAGTCCTGTGAGGCCAACTGCCAGCTGTTCTGTTTCCTGAGAAAGAGTAAACTCTAATTTAAAATTTTAAAAGCTTTAAAATGAGCTAAACTCAAGCATCCTGCACTCGCTTTTCCATTTGCTTCACTCGAGGTAAATGAGTGAAGCAAATGAAAAAGCTGCAGGGAAGGAAAGACAAGAGCTTGATAGTTCCAGATGCAGGGGGTGGATGCAAAGTAAAAGTCATCAGGATACTCCTGTGTTCTTTCTAGTAAGGGTTAATAATTTAGGCAAATATTTTAATGACTAAAAGGCATAATGACTCATGAAAGCCACTACTGTCCTCCTGTCCCCAAAAGAAGTACATTCTCTTGGGACACCATTCAAGAGCACATTTAAGCACTTGTTCAAATTGAAGCCCCTGGTTAAGAGCTGCCCCTGAAATTTTGCTGAATAAAGTCATTAAATATCATGTACTCAAAACTGGCAAGGGAAAAATGAAATGGGAACCTTTAGTCTCATTTATTAATGACTATACACAACCCTTTGAAGCCTTTCCTTTTCGTAAGTTAAATGGTTGCTCTATGAATAAGCTTCGTTCTGTCAGACTTTGAGAGCAGCCTGAAATGAAAATGTGCTCTTGCAAAATATGTTGATCACATATTAAAAAAAAAAAAAAAAAAAGCTGGAGAAGAAAAGATTTTGTGAAAAAATTCAGAATTAGGATTCAAAAATGCCATGTTTCAGTCCTCTGTGAGAATTGGTATGTTACACTCCCTATCCTTCCATCTGGCATGGGCTTCCAAACCAAACCATCCTTACCTGGGGAGATGCACTGTCATCTCTCCAAAGGAAAGGGACTCTCCAAGGAGGATCAGGGAAAAATACACAGAGATACAGGGAAATATGAGATAATGCTATAGCACTTCCAAAACAAAGGTTTTGCTTTTCAAGATATTTTATATTCTACATTGTTTTGCTTCTGAAAATTTGAAGTGCTTTGTGGTAAATTTTGCTATCCTCCCCACCCTATTTGTCTTCATTCCTTTGTAATGAAACAACCACAATTTCTAACTAGGTCGGCCTGGAACTGCTGGGGGATAAAGCACACAAAACAATGCCCTGCCTATGCATCTACCTTGCTGCTTCTTTCCCTCTTTATGCCAAAGCTGATGCACCCACACATGCACGTACACATGCAGAAACACCTCAAAGTTCCCTGCTACTATTCTTTATGGCAGTGAATTTCCAAGCTTCTCCTTCTCCTTTAATCCTGTGCAGCAGCAAGAGGCACCTGTGGAGAGCAGGATTGTGGGCCTGTGCCTCAGCAGGCACAGAGAAGCTGTGGGTAATGTTCAGCATTTATTTCTGTACAGAATACCCCTGCCCAGCTGCAGGCACTTTATTCCACACCGACACAGATGGATGACTGTGCCACAGTGCTTTCCTTTAGCAGTGCAATATAAATACCTGCAGGGCATGGATCTAATTGCCTTTGTTGTTGCTGATGAAGATAACTGCACCGTGCATACACTTTCCTTGCCAGCTCCTTTGCTTCCACTGTAACTCATTTGTGATGCCACAAATTATCACAGGCTTGAGCCAGGTTTCCAGTGAAGCTCAGTGGGGTACAGCTGGTCCAAATGATGCTGTTTGTCTTTGTGCTCGTGTCTGCAGGAAGGTAGAACGGGGAAATGCTGTGTAGTGACTGGGACAGAGTGTGCTGGAAGGCTGAGGAAACCTTATGGCAGCTTGCTGCTGCTGTGTTCTAGCCTGGATTTTGGCTTGCACAGGGAAAACTATTCTTTTGAGTGCTAGGCAGAATGTTTTTGACAGCAGACAGGGCCCTTCAAGAGCAGAAAGGCAAAACCTTCTATAAATATGGAAGTTATTCTCTTTTTTCTTTTCCCGTTTCCCCCTCCCAGGGGACTGAGGTTACTCCTGGTTATTGTGCGACAAATCCACAGCTCAGTGCTGCGAGCAGCAGCTGGGGGGCAAGGATCATTGCCTGTATCCATTGAAGGGCTGGGCTGTGCACCAGGTACCAAAAAGAGGTGGTAGAAGACAAACCCTTGCTCCAAAGCAGTGCCAGCCTCGCTCAAGCTGAGGTGGGGATACAATGCCAGCACCCCAGCAGGCTAAAAAGATCCTTGAAAAGAAACAAACCTTTGCTTGGCATTCTCTGGAGTTCATCCCAGCAATGTATTAGTGAGCCAGGCTGCTCAGCAGCGTCGCCATCCAGCCCCAAATAACCCAAGCTCAGAGCTTGCAGGGACAGCTGTGTCCTTGCCTTCCTTCTCTGGGACTCATCTAGCCCTTGTGGTACAGAAAACCTCACCCTGAACTCCCCATCCAGCCAAAAAAAGGGGGAATCTTCCCACTCAGTGTTCCTTGAGTCAGGGACTCATAACTGTGCAAAACCACTGAATTCCTACAGAACTCCTGGCTTTTGTACTCCGTCAGAAGTTGGCTTTTCAGCTGGGGTAGGTTCTGAGCAGCGGTGAGGCCATTTCCCCCGAGCTCTGCAGGTGGAGGAGCCCCAGGGCAGGCGCAGAGCCCCAGCAGGTGCTGGCCCTGTGCCGGCCGCTCTGGCAGATGTCGGCCGGGGATCGCCGGGGTCACCGACACAAGTGTTTTACTCCTTTCATTAGCACAGTGCCTAGAAAAAGAGAGAAAAGCAGACGTTATGCCCCTCTGAAAGAGAAATTAACTCTGCTTTGAAGTGAGTTGCAAAACAAGAGAAAAAAGACCCACGGAAGAAATGCTGCAGCTCTGAGTGAGGCTGTGCCACGCTGCTGTCCCCGCATGGCTGAGACAACTTTGAGCATTGTCATCTCTCGCCCCAGGGCTGTTTGTGGCACAGTAAATGGAGCTGTTCAGTTTAATTGCAAGACGAGCAGTGATTGTATTTTTGTAACCTATTAGACTGCGCTGCCTCTTGGTCTGGGATTGCACTTGGAATTACAGTCTGGAATATGAGTGAGTGCCTCATTTCTGCTCCCCCCTCATCTTGATTAAATAATGATTTGAAACAAAAAAAAAAAGAATCCAATAAATACATATCCTGGGTTCCCTTGAGGGCAGGAGTATGTTCCCTGCTGAAAGCTGGATGAAACAAAGTTCACTGAGATTATTTGATTACTTATTAGGGGTTGTGTGTGGGGGGAAATCCAAATGTTCACATAGAGAGAATTAGATTTGTGAAAGAGCAGGCTCTTTTAAGCCACCCTAGAAAAGTAAAAAGCCATTAGACTTCAGACTCACACAGAATGGTGTGATTCAATTGAGCTGCGTGCAGTGTTTTTAGATGTGGTACTCTGTTTCCATCCTGGGTGACTGGCAAGACTTTCAGAAACAGTAAATTGGGACCACGAGCAAAGCCAAGATCATCCAGTGGGCAATATGGGGAATTGGTCTGAGCAGGCAGGCAAGCTGAGCACCCTGGGACTTGTTCTGGCTCTTGCTGCAGGGCAGAACCTCCCCTAGAGCCTGCAGGAAGCCACTGGTTACAGCCTGCTGCCCCAGGGTGGTGGGGCTGAGAAGCTGCTGTGTCCCCCTGGCACCTCCCCTGCCCCATGCAGACCCTCCAGCCCTCACCCAGACTGTCAGCTTCATATTTCACTGATATCCACATTGCCTCTTCCCAGAGTCTTGTTGCCACAGATGTTGAACTACAGAGGAGCTTGTTGATCCTCCCGGTCATTTGACAGATTTTGTGATGTGCTGACAACAGTTGCTGCTTTGAAGGTAGATGTCAGCCAAGGCAGAGCAGAAACAAGGATGTCAGGTCCCAGAGTCAGTCTGTAAAGCTGGTTTAGAAATGCCAAGAAACTGCTGTATTTCTTGGCAGCAGTAATAGCCTTTCAGTTTAAACTGGGAAGGAACAGAAGGAAGGTATTTCTGTGTGTGATGCCTGGGTCAGTGTCCCTTGGAGCAGCCCTGTGCCCACTCCAGGCTCATCCTACCCCTGCAGCCAGGGAGTACCTCACATGCTGTTTTTATGCCTGTAAGTGAAAGGTGATAAAAAGCTGCTTGTCTCTGGGTTAGGATTCAGCTTAAATGCAAACAAAACCCCATCTTTTAAGAAAAATACTTGGTAACATATTTGAAAGCGCAATCCTGTATCTTCTGGAATGTGGCTGGGGAGAGTGCAGTGGTCCATAGCACAGAGGTCAGATCTCTTGGGGCTCTGGATGTGGCATCAGGGTTTCAGAAAGAGCTGGTGAAAAGCAGAGCTGGCTATTTGGCTCCCTTAGGCTCCTGTGACATTCCAGTTTCTGCTGGAGTAAGCAAGGACTGGTAGAGAATTGCTAGAGCTGAGAAGAAGCAAGGAGCAGTTCCAGATGCTGAAATGAGGACTTGCAATGTGTGTCTCCACTCATTCCTATCTGGGAGCATTTGGGAGACATTTCTGCTCTGTCCAGGGCTTCTGCATTGAAGGTGCAAGTTGGCTAATGAAGAAGGATCACTTCATTTCCCGTGTTTGCTGCTGGGGCTTCTGATTTCTCTGAGCTGGGACTGAGCATCAATTAGAAGTTAGTGTGGGGTGGAGATGGGGAACTCCATTATGGATTTGCTGGGATGAACCAATCCCTTATCCAGAAGCAGTAATGCTTCTCTCCCTGGCAACACAGAAAGTACCTGGAGATCCTCCAGCTCCAGGTGTTTGCAGAGCAGCAGAGTGTTGTGGGCAGCCATCCTTGTGCAGACTGTGCTGAGAGCTGCTGTGGGTGTTGGGAGCTCTGCTCCGGTTTCAGTCACTGCTGGTTCAGCACCTGTGTCCGAGTCAGCTGTCCCTGTCCCAGTTAGCACCTTGAACTGGGTCGGGAGCAGCTCTCCCTGAGGGCACAGATTGAATGCCACAGGCAGGAGCGTGGATATGGATGCACCATCTGATAGGATGAAGGAGATCCATATGAAACATGACACAGGCTGAGTCTGCAGCCCCTCTGAGGATGAAAAAGTCATCCAGTCCAGAGCTAAACTTTCCAAAGGGACTGGCCCTGTGCCTGCTGTGTGACAGCTGATCCAGGTCTCCTCTGCTGCCTGAGATTGCACCAACATTGCAATGTGGTTTTTTGGCTCAGAAGGCCCCAGATTGGCGAGGGCATGGCCCAGGTCCCTGGTGTGGAGAGCATGGCATAGATGGGGGCATTGTGTGCCCCAGAGTGTGGCATGAGGGCATGTGCACGTGTTTGAGGGAGCACGGCTTGCTGGGAACATGTTTGGAAGATTGTCCTGAGTTGGGGGGAGCCAAAGCTGTGTGTCCACACTCTAAGAACCCTGCACCAAACCTCACAGGTGGGTTTGAGGAGAGTGGAGGCTCCAAGTGAAAGAGGAGGAGGCCACATGAGAGTGCAGACTTGTGCATTGGGCCCTAATTCTCACCCCATTGCAAGGGCAGATGTTAGCACTAACACAGCCTCGCTCCCAGTGCTGCCACATTCTTGAGCTGGCTCAGGTAAATGCCAGTGCAGTTAAAACTGAGCTATAAAATACTGAAATGATGTAAATCCCCTTGGTGGTGCTCAGGGTCCCAGAGAACAGCCCTGCCCAAGTCAGTCTGTGTGAGTGTGGGGTCCTTGCTTGCCTTGTTGTGCTCAGCAGCCCAGCCCAGGTGTGGCTGGACCCCCTTGCAGAGGCTGGCAGGAGCAGGGCTGCTGTCCCCTTCCCCACAGGTCTCTGAGGGGATGCTTTTCCTCCTCCATTCTTTTGCTTCTTCCCTCCCTGAGTTCCCTTTGTCATTTCCATACAACTCAGGGGGATTCAGTGCAAGCTGCAGCTTTCAGCACAAGCCATCAGCCTCCAGGAATGGGCTGGACAGACTAATTTAAAGCAGAAGGAAACAAAAATGAATAATAAGGGAGACAGCCGAGCAGACAAAAAGCAGTCATGACATTTGCATAGAGGAGGCAGCAAACAGTTGGCAGTGTGGATTGAAGAGAGGGTTTATGTTTTTTTCATGTAATTTGAGACTCTAATGATGGACTTATGTTGCCCGCTCTTCCTTTTTTCTTACACCTTACCTACTAAAGGAGGAGTTCTTGATGGGTAAGTGGATGCTATCCGCAAGACACCAGGGAATTTATTAGAGGTCACTTGAGCGCATTAGCTATATCTTCTTCAGGGGGTAAAAAGCACACAAAGAAATATCTGTATACCTTTTATTTCCAAAGGGATTTTTCTTTTTCCCCTCACCCTCTTTTTTCTTTTTATTTTTTCTTTTATTTCTTTTTTTTTTTTTTAAATTTGCAAGTGATAAGCTTGTTTATTTGCCAGTTTTTGCTTTGTACAGAAGCCCTTAATTTGATTTGATTTGGTTTTTCGTTGCTTATTTTGGTGACATTGGTTCAGCCACTTTATTAAGGAAGCTCAAAAAAATTCACTCATCTAAATTTTTGTTTCATTTTTGTTTTCTTTGCAAGGATTATGTAGGTTTTTATATGTATATACCCCCTTTATTTTCCTCCCCCCTTTAAGGTTAAATAAGGGCTTTGTCCTCTGTTACATTTTTTTATTTAGTTAGTTATTTTAATTATTTTGTTGCCCACTTACTTTGTTGAACTCTTTTGTTTAACATGAACCGCATGCTGATACTCTTTGCATGATCTCTAAATCTTCCCGTTATTATAGCAGGGGGAAAATAAGTTTCTTCTTACTGTGGATTTCTTTTAGGGATATGTGCTTTTGTTTTCTTCTCTTTTCTTCTTTTTTTCTTTCTTTCTTACTTTATTTTCTTTCCTTTCCTTTTGTTTCAGTGCATCATGATGGTAAAATTTCTGGGTTTATTTGAAAAAAATAAAGCAAAGTAAAACCAAAAACAACCCCCCAAAAACCATTCAAACAATGCCAAATGGCTTTTTTGCTTTCAGATCTCTCAGTCAGGGTCTTCTGCTGACCTCTTTACCAAAACAGACAGCCCGCCTGGCAACCTAGCCAGCCAGAATGGAGAGTATCATGAATATGACTCAGGAAACGATACTTCCTCCCCTCCCTCCACTCAAACGAGCTCATCCAGGTCAAAGGACAGCCAGGAGAAAAGAAGTCTAGTCCATGATGGCTTTGGCCATGCCTTCTCGTCCGGGAAGCCCAAACTGGCCAACAGCGATAACAGCTCTGATTCAGGAAATTCCTTCACCAGTTGCTTTTCCCAGACCAAGGGAACAGCTTTGGAAAATCTGTCTCCAGATGCCCAGGGACAAGACCGAAGGTCAGTGATTACCAGTAGCTGCTGCAGGCAGCCCAATACCTGGTACGTTGTTGCTCTGTGTCTCCTGCCCGCTCGCCAATTGCCATGGTGAGCTGGCAGGGAGCTTTCTGTGCTCTGGAGGCAGGCAGGTACCAACCAGACCCACAGTCTTGCCAGTCTGGAGTCCAGAACTCAGCAAGGGCCAGTACTGTAGCTTGAGGAGGAAGATAAAACCCAGCCATCACATCCCTGGACATTGCTTGTGTCAGTGCTTTGGCACTGCTGTGGCTCAGGCAGGGTTTGGGCCTGGGTCAGGCCGTGGTCACAGCACATCCCTGCTCACCTGGGCATGGCATGTCAAAAAAAAGTCTCTGGCCCTTCTGGGCACAATCTGAAAAGAGCATCTTGGGGTTGCCATGCTAATTCTCCCTCTCTGCCTACTGTGGGGAAGGGAAGCGGGGCTTGTTTCCACTACTATCATTATGGGCTGTTCTTTCACCTGTCCAATGAACCAAATCCAGCATGCCCCTTCCTCTTCCCAGCTCATCCAGCACAGCTCCAGGGTGACAAGATAGCATCTCCTGCCAGTGGGGAGCACAGGGAGGGGCAAGGACTTGGCTGGCTGCAGGATAACACAGCAGCAGCTTTGTACTGGGGCCACAGGACATCCAACCACCACCCAGTGCCACAGGTCATCTTCAGGAGAGGGGAGTAGCTGCCAGCCTCCGTCACTGCCTCCCATTCCTGGATTTTTGCCAGGGGATGTTGGGAATGAGGGCACTGAAGTGTGGTGGCTGGTACCCAGGGCTGTGCTCAGGCAGTGGTTGTAGGGAGCTCTTCCAGCTCAGGCCCTTGGGTCCTAAAGGCTGAAAGTTAGAGCCAGGATATGGTTTGGAGCACTGAATGTGACAGGAGGGAGCCAGGGTAACGGGTTTTAGTAAGAACAAGCCTCATTTTCAGTCAGAGGGTAAAATTTTAGGTCTGTCTGTACTTTTCACATGGTGACTCCAGTGGGGTAACTCTGCCTTCACATGGGTGGAGCTGGGATTGCAGCTGGCCCTGGCTGCTGGGAGGCTGCCTGGCTGCTGGGCTCTGACCCCAGCTCATTCCAGAGCACTTCTGGAAGAGGAGGATTCATGCAGCACTGTCCAAAGACAACAGGACATGCCTGCTCAGTGCCCACTCATGCTGCTTCACAGCCAGGCTGGAGTACAGCCCTTGCCCTGCCATGCTCTCTACTTTTGCCCTGCTCCAGCACTTTTTACTTCACTCCCTGCCCAGGACCAGCACTGGCCTGACCAGGCTCTGCCAGCCTGACACCTCTGGTGTGTTGGGCATGGGGCAGATGAGCTGCTGCTTGTGCCAAGGAGAGCTCTTCCACACCTGTTCTCCCTGGCAGAGCCTGGAGGTTGAGCTCTTGGATTCTGACACACACATATGGGGTCTTCTGCAACAGCAGCCTGGGGAGCTGAGAGGTTCTTTTCACCTCCAGTTAGGGAATGGAAGGATGGGAATATTTATTTGCTGGAGCATGCTGCTCCCCTCAGCCAGGGACCAGTCCCGGTTCAGCCACAGCTTCAAAAAGTGTCCAAATGTATGTTCACAGAGCGTGCCTACCCTCATGTCTCGGTTCCTCAGAGGAGAAGAAGCGAATCTTCCTCCCCTCGGCAGCGTCCAGCTCCCCGGCCAGGCCTGGCTCCCGCAGCGAGTCCTGCAGCAGCACGGGCCGATCCTCCCCCGGCTCCAGCCGCTCCCGCTCCTCGCACCGCAAGGCCTCGCCCAGGTCCTCCCGAAGCAGGTCCTGCTCCTCGGGAAAGAGGTAAGGCCAGCTGGAACGGCTGGCTCTGTGACCCGGGGCAGTGTCTAGTTCTTGCCAGCCAGCAGGCTCCTTGCAGGGGGAAGTGTAAGAGTTTGGGATCCACAAGGCTTGGGGTGAACTGGCCACGCAGAGCTGGGCTGAGACCCTGGAGAATGGGACATCGCTTCCTCCTCATGATTTGGAGTAGTCTGGTACAGTCAGACTCACCCTCCAGCATCTTTAACTCTTTTATGTTTCCTTCCTGTCTCCAGGTCTTCCTCACGTTCCCCCAGCTATTCCTCCAAATCCTGCAAAAAAAGTCCTGGGAGTAGAAGTTCAAGGCCTCGCCGGAGCCCCAGTTACTCCCGCTACAGCCGTAGCAGGTACAGCTGTCTACTTGTGTATCTGCTGCCCACTCATGTGGTACCTGCTGCCTCACACTTTCCCCTGCCTCCATCACTGTCATGCTGCTGTGAGTGGTGGGCAGAGCCCGAGGCTCCGGCTGGGTCTGCCCACACAGCCAGCAGCCCCTGCAGCAGGGCTGCAGCCCCTGTCAGACAAGGATCTGGTTGCAGCAGGGAAAGACACTCTACTTTAGAGTCACAGCTCTGACAAAGAGTTGTCAGACCCAGGGAAGTGCCCCTGCTGTGAGGGCAGATGCCAGATACCCTGAGGCTGGTACTCACAGCCTTGCAGAGAGAAACGAAGTCCAGGCACCTCTACTCCCTCCATACACCATAGGAAACAGTCTCACAGTTCAACCCTAGAGATGCCTTTGGCACGTTTTCCTGGTAGCACCTGTACTGCTGTGAACATTTCTTAACCTCAAAATCATACATTGCCAGGGTCGATTCTTGCAGTCTTTGACAATCCCCGTGCTGGTGAGGAGAATACTTCCTGCATGCAGGGATCAGGCAGGCCCTTGACCTGCAGCGTGTTGCTTTGCAGATGGCACTGAGCAGGGTGTATGAAATCAGCCACGCTGCACAGAAGGGCCTGTGCTGACGTGTATGGGAATTTAACAAAAGAGAAAACCATAGCAACACCGGCACTCCTTCTGGCAAGGCTTGCAGAGCCCTGCAGGGCTACCAGGCCCTCAGCTCACGTGGGACCTGCTGGCAGGGCTGTTCCTGCCAGCTCCAGCAGCACGGCCAGCAAGAGCTAAATACAGACTGCACCCACAGACACAGGTCCCTGGAAGCCATCTTCGCTTGGCAGTGCAAAGACACCGCTGGAACCCCTGGACACAATTAGTGGTGCCAGTCTCTGTCCAGCTGTGTGAGCTCTCAGAGGCGACACCATGAGAGCACTTAGAGTTGTCCCTTTTGGAGCTGAGCATCCTCTGCCCATCTGTGCCTTCGTAGGTCATTTCCTGTCCATCCCTAACCCAGCCCCAAGCCCCTGCAGTGACAGTCCCCCTGCTGTGCCCTCCGCAGGGACCGCGAGCGGGAGCACAAGTACGGCTCCAGCGAGAAGGAGTCGCAGCGGGAGCGGCAGCGGCGGCGCCGCTCCTATTCCCCCCTGAGGAAACGCCGGAGAGACTCCCCCAGCCACCTCGAAGCTCGGCGCATCACAAGGCAAGGGGATGCTGTCCCGTCCTTTGGAGACAGGCTCAGCTGGCACTTCCCGGGGGGATGAGGGCTGTCCTTGGGTCCCAGCCCTTGCCAGAGGAGGTTTCTCCAGGAGACCAGGTTCCCTGAGCCTGATGAGCAGGCCCTTCCACCCCTCCTCTAGAGCTTGGGGATTTTCAGCTGGAGGCAGAGGAAGGATGGAGAGGGTCTCAATTTACAATAGCTGAAGGGAAAAAAGAAGATGAAGTCAGAGCAGGGACTCAGGTACCAAGAGCATTCCCTCACAGGCTTTTTATTTCACCCTGCCCTGTGGTAGATGTCCCACAATGGAGAGAGTCAGCTATTGACTCGACCCTTCATGCAGAGGGCTCTTTGGGACATCATCAAGTAGAGCCCAGCAGACTGAGTGGCTGAGGTTTCCCCAGGGCTGTGGGGGTGGCTGGTTTGAATCCCAAGGCCTGTCAGCTACCTGATCTCTTTTTCCTTTTAAACAAACACAATCACATTTTTGGGAGTATTGTCCAGAGTGAATAGTGCTTTTTGGAGATTTTGGCAGGAAGTCTGTCCTTGTGCTGCTGGTAACCCGCATCTCTCTGTCCCCACAGTGCCCGCAAACGCCCCATCCCCTACTACCGCCCCAGCCCCTCCTCCTCCAGCAGCGCCGGCAGCTATTCCTCCTGGTACAGCAGCTTCAGCCGCTCCCCGAGCCGCAGCCGCAGCTACTCCAGCTACCGGACGAGCCGGAGCCGAAGCTGGAGCAGCAGCCGGAGCTCGGGCCCCAGGAGCAGCCGCAGCAGGAGCAGGAGCTATGACTCAGGAGCCAGCTCCGACAGCCTGCGTCGTTAGGGAGTGCCACTCTGGCTGACAGCGGGTGCCGGCGTCACCGCCACATTCCTGGCATTCTCCGCTTCCTTCCCACCTACCTGGCCATCGATAGCAATCATCCCCGATACTGACGTGGTGGCTTAGCCGGGTCCCCCTTCCCCGGTTCGGAGTAAGTGCCCTGGAGCGCCTGGTGCAGCCCCTCCGCCCCAGCGCAGTGTGTGGATCAGTCCCAGCTCCCCAGGCCAGGCTGGAAGAAGGGTCGGTGCTTTATAGAGGGTCTGTCACGACAGACCTGCTCCATCCTCCCCGATGCTCCCATCTCCCCATTGCTACTGCTCTCCAAAGTACTACCAGCGGGTCCAAAGGAAAGAACTCTGCTCCTTGCTCTTCTGAAAAACCAGGAACCAACAAATTAACTTCTGCTGGAGAGACAGACCTGGCTGGGGAGGAGTTTGCTGGAAAGCTTTAGTGACAGGGTGGGGGGGGAATGGCTGTCCCCACCAAGGCAAATACCAGGTCCTTTGGGTCTCTCCTCCAGAGCTGCTGCCCACTGTGCAAAGAAAATATTTATTTTTTGCCAGTCAGCCAGTCCCTGCTATAAATAGAAGGCTAGAAATCCCTCCTGATGTACTTCCTGGGGGAAAAAAAGGCTGCTTGCTCTTTCTCCTGCCCTTTCCTACCAGGTAGCAACACCTTTTGCAGGGTTGTTTTATCCCCCCAGCACTGAATTTCTTGCAAACCACCTGCTGAGGTCTGAAGCAGACCTGGGGCTGGTGGGGTACAAGGCAGAGGAGAGGTGGTGCCGTGCTGGGCTCCAAGGGCCAGGCAACACATGGGAGACAGGTGCCATGGGCTTCCCTTCTTGGAGGAAGCCTCACACAGCTTGGGTTTAGGTTCTTCTTCAGGGAGCATTGCCCTTGGAGTGTGTTGCTGGGGAGACCAGAGGGAGGTGCAGAGATATCAGTTGTGGGATATAGTCAGAACACGCAGGGTTAAAATGGTGTTGCAAGAGCCAGGGGACCCCAATTCCCCTTTCTCAAAAAATGAAGCAATTTGAGGCAGGATTCCAGGCAATCATTCCTCCCTGAGCCCCTCTGGCTGCCCTGGGGCAGGATCAGCAGCACAGTTGCAGGGCCAGTGCCAGGCTGCAGCAGGATGCACTGGTACCCCAGTTTGTTGCTGGGAGGCTGGAGCAGTGCAGGGGGACAGGAAGGGCCCCCCACTAATTGCCTGTTTTTCCAGGGAGCCACAGGCTGCCCTGGGCCCTGGGGTTTTGTCTCCCTGCCAGCCCAGCTGCCTGTGCAATTACTGTGTTTTGCCGGGTAACAAAGGCTTCTCCCAGCACAGGCTGAGCTGGTGCTGAGGAGTTTATTTCTCTTACAACACCTGGGTGCTTAGAGACGCTAATTTGGGCTTAAGACTTCCCTCCCTCCCTTTTTCCATCCCCTCCCCTTCCATCCTGCATGATTATTAACGAGTTTGGGCTTAATGAGTCAAGGAGGTGTGTGTTGTTTAAGTGTTACAGAAAAGGGCTGAGTGCAGCCACCATCTGCAGGAGGAGAGGGGCTAGAAAGGAATGCAACCACCCCCCACCCCCCATCTACAGAATTCCCTACAGCCCCCTGGCAGCTGGAAAAGGGACAAAGCAGCAAGGGGAGGAAGGCTGAGTGCCACGAGCTGCTGTGGTGGAACTGGATGATCGCCTCAGCAAGCCTATAAATCTGTTAGCTGTTGGAAAGTACAGGGCAGGCAGGGATTCCATCTGGGTGGTACAGGAGGAAGTTTTATGTCAGGGACCTCTTTCCTGGTGCTGGTCCCCCTTGTCCTGTGCCTTCAATGGCAAAAGCTCCCCTTTTTCCCAGACCCTCATCCCTCACCTTGCTTGCTGCAGGCAGTGTGAGGATGAGGGGGCTGAGGCAGAGAGCTGGGCACTGGTATGGTTGGTGGCTTAGAGGGGATGGGTCCATCTTCTGGAATGACTTTTTCTAGGATACAGAGAGAAGTGCTTCTGGTAAGGCTGAGCAAATGTTCTAGGGCTGTGGTTGAGGGATCAAAGACAGGATGCCACTGCCTTCCCTCCTGTGCTGGCCCCAGCAGCGGCCCCTTGGCCACCTTCTGCAGCGAACTCCCTCTCAAAAGGGCTGAAAACCTCATGCTTCTTCCCCAAAGAGTCTCTCCCAGTCTGATGCTGAAATGCCCCATTCTTCTGCTCCCTGGGAAGATCCAAAGGCAGTGATGGGAACCCAGACCTCCCCAGCTCTACCAGTGTTTCAGGAGCAGCCTCCTGCCCCTTGGCACCCCGTAACACACATGTGGAGCTGCAGCAAGGAAGCAGCGAGCCCAGGATCCAAAACTAGGAAAGGAAAGAAGAGGGGCTTTGTGCAACTGGTGTAAATACCAGACTCACACTGACTGGAGTCCTCGTGGCTGGGGACAGATGATGGAACCACCACAGCAGAGTTGGCAGCATCCACCCCGTGTGGGTCAGGAGATGAGCCCAAGGGTTGTGTGGGGCAGCTCCTGCACTCGTCCAGCTGATCCCTCCATCAAGGACTGCCTCTGCCTGTACAGTCCGTGGCAGCTAAACGCTCCTGGGGTTTCCCAAGCAGACTTGCATTGGAGTAAACCTCTCTAAATTATTTATTTATTTATTTAATATTATTATTATTCTATTTTTAATTGTATGTCAGAATGGACCAGTATTTATTTATTCTATTTTTTTTTTTCCCTAACGTTAAGTTATTTTGGGATCTGTTTGTTTGTTGAAATGTATCCATGCCGCTGGTCTCGTGTAAAGGTTTACAGCTCTGGCCCCTCTCAGTGAGGTGGCCGGAGGAGTGACAGTCACTCCTGCCGCCACCGTGTCCCTGTGCGCTCTCCGGCGCAGGGCGGAGAGCACGGGACGGACGAAGGGACGCAGGGCAGAGCTGCGCGTTTTCATGGTGGAATCTCGGGTTTCTCATTAGATCTGTGCAGGAATGTGATGGGTGTGACCACAGAAACGGGTCTAGGACGTGTCGGAGGTGACGGCGAGGGTCTGCTGGCCGGCCGAGCGCGGGGTGTTGGCAGTGCCACCAGCGAAGTGTCGCCTGCGCGGGCGCCGGCCGGGTGCCAGCTGGCCCCGCGCTGTTTGCCTTGGCTCCGCCGCCAGCGCTCAAGCCGAAACCCGGCTGCTCCGCGCAGCACCGCCGCTTTCCCTGGGAGGATGCCGTCGCCAGGACTCCCCTGCCGTGTTTATCCCTGCGCGCTGACCCACCCATGGGAAAACAAAAGAGATGAGACTGTGAGAAAGCGATCCCTGCGGAAGATCCTTGCAAAATCCAGCCTCTGGTGACGGATCTGATCAAGGCTGTGTGTGTATGTGTGTATGTGCACATGTGCATATACATGTGAATTTCTCTCGGTGTTATTTATTTTTTAACTTATTTAATATTTTTAGTACAAGCTTTAGTACACCCTTCCTGTTAGTGGACAGATGGGGTTTCTGTGGGTTTGTGTGAAGCTGTGAGTTTTTCTGTCTCTGTGCCTTTTGCCAGTGCTTTTTAAATTTTTTTAAAGTTGTTTCTCTCATTCACTGCTTTTATGGATTTTTGCTCTGCATCCAACATCTCAGATTGCTGCAGGTGCTCTCTGCAAAGAGCAGGTTCACCTGGAGGAAAGGCAGCTTGGTCATTTTGGTGTTGGTGAATCGCTGCTGTGCTCAGACACACAAGGGGTGTTCACGGCTGGCCACAACATCAGGATAATATTTGGGCTGGTTTTTGGGAGCCCTGTGTCACACTCAAAGGCTCTTTCCCAGCCATGATTTTGAATCATCCCACAAGCACCTCTGCTGTCTTTCCCTGGCAGAGCACAAGTCACAGCGCTCACTCCCAAATGCCTCCTTGACCCTGGAGCCATCAGCTCTCCCCATTCACTGGCCCTGCCTTGGCTCTGGGTTTGTCCCCCCAAGGGAGGCTTGTCCCACCTCTCCCAACCCCATGCTCCAGAAAATCCAACACCATTTCTGCAGGTTTGCTGGGAAGCAAAGATAAGGGATGTTTCAAAGCACTGCTCTGTTCTTTCTTCATTGGTTGCAGCACTCGGCTGAGCTTTGCTTTATGTTAACTGCAATTTTCCTCAATGTTTTTGTTGTTTTGGGGACTGAATTTGTACCAAACTTGTCTGCAACCGCCAATCACTGTTATTTTGCTATGCATTGTACATATATTGAACAGGCTGAGGGGACTTGGCCTCTATTTAATATTTATTTCTTCTATTTATTGAGCATTACTTTAAAAAAAGCTATTTTGGGTCATGCTGTTGGGTCCGTGAAGGCAGGAGCCTTTGAAGTGTTGCCAGATATGTTGGAGAGAGGAAGGAAAATTTGGCTTATTTGGACCTCACCACCAGTATTTAGAGAGGAACCTCATTGTGATGGAGATGGGCAAGGCAGGGGAAAACTCTCCATCTCCTTGAAGCAGCTTCTGTTGACAAATCATATCCCCTGGAAAGGAGTGGGGAATTCAGAGGTGACAGGCCAGCTCTAGTGGAGGAAAAACCCTGCTTCTCTTCCTGTGCCATGTGACATAGGGCTGCCATCACCAAAAATCCCTGGAGTTCTCTATCTCCCACTGCTGGTCCCCTCTTCCCTCTGGGGGACACTTGTCACCCTTTGCGTCAGTGGTGAGGAAGGGAATAGGATGGAAGTGACTGGCCGTGGTCTCCACCAGGAAGCAAGGATGTCCACCCTGCCCCATCCTGAGATCCTCGTGCTGTGTCCTGCTTTGCCCCCTTCCCCAGGCTTTGTGCCAGTAGCTTTTCCCTGGTGTGAGCTCAGTAGCTAGCAGGGCTGGGGAGGCCTCCCCTGCTGTGTCCAACACGAGCAGAGCTTGCTGCAGGCATCCTCCCCCAGCTTTGAGAAGAGCATGAGATGTGCTAAAAATCCCCCCTACCCCAGCGCCGCTGCACCAGGGCCGCAGGCGCTGCTCTGCTCAGCCGGGGGAGGAGTTTGTGCTCTGGGGCAGCGCTGCCGCTGCTGG